CATTCTATGATTCTATGATTGTCCTCTGAGTTACTGTCTTGTCTCACTATACCTACCGTGCATTACACATGTATCCTTGGCACAACATAAGCTCCTATGTATTTCATTAAATGGAACCATGATCAACACAGGATGATGCTGTTGAAGGCTGACTTCCTCAAGATCATACTGTTATACCAGTACTTGAATCTTCAGCTATTTACCTTCAAAAATTTCTTCTGAAGTGGTTTCTCATTGACACTTCTCCAACGTTCCTCCTTTGCTTCAGTTTCCTTCATATCAACATAATAACCAGCTATGGGACTACGACCAGTATAAACTGGTTCCTTCCACAGTAAAACTAAAGAGTCCTTCCTAACTTCTGTGCATGTGACATCATGGGGTGGCCCTGAAAGGTAAAAACTGGAGTTGTGGCATCAAAATAAATCACAAAAGGGTTAATGCATAAGAATTCAAAAACCAAAACCAGACACTGTGTTGTACACTCAGAGCTGACATAACATTTGCAGCTCCTCTGTATCTTATCAAGTCCCAATACAATACAACCCATACCTATTAAAAAGACTAGCCCAAAAAACAATCCAATTTGTTGAGATTTGGTATCTTGATCAAATATTCATGAACAAACAAAAATGACAAATAAACTCCAAATTCGTGGAAATAAGTTAATAATTAAGCCAATGTACTGCTTCAAGGACTGCTCTAAAGTCCACTGAAGTCAATGGAGGTTGTTTTCATTCGTTTCAATGAGTGTTAAAAGGCTAGAGATCTGGCCTTGAAGTGATACACTTAGACAAGGACTACAGGACCTCATTTGTCTCTGCCTTGTACCTTAGGCAGGTATTTATGTCTACCATTTAAACTAGGAGGCAGAGTGGCAGACACAGTACAGGAACCAAGCAGGAAAGATAAAGAAAATACAAGCTGCTTGTAAAATGCTACTGATTAAGTGGGGATTGTTTAACACATCAGCGTAAATGTACTAAATCAAAGTGATGAAGATTCAAGCTTGGTATGAACTTCAGTGCCTGTTGACTCCCCTGGAAACTGAAAGCATTGAGAACTTAGATAATCAGTCACAGAGCACCCTTGGGCTGTGAGTAACCTCTACCTCCCACTCAGGATCCTACCAGGCACGGCAATGGTCCATTCTTCACATTTGAAGGGCTGGCTGGGCAGGGAGGGTGTCCCAACCCCAGCCAGGTTAGCAGCAGCCACCTGGAACTGGTACACCATGTTTTCCTTCAGGTTATGAATCTGCAGAATCAATCAGATGGTACTTATTAACCTTAAGGCTTTAGAAGAAAGTCACCGTGGCAATTAAGCATGAGCATGCTTCTAAGTGCCTGAAGAGGTGAAAGCGTTATTGACATTATACATAAGGCCATTACTATCTCGGCTTTTCCTCTAATCAGTGGTGGAGCATACATGAGTGGTCGTAGCACACTCAAATTGTAAACCCCTTTTCCTCTTGATAGACACTGGCAGTCAGGGAGAGAGCAGGCTGTTGCTCAACTATCACATTAATCTGTCTTGTGATACAGAGCAAGTTCACTTAGGGCAAGGGTTGTCCTCACAGTGGGGTGAAACTCAGCCCTGGCATTGTTTTTAATTTGTAAAGCAGCTCAGCAAGGTTGTAGCTAGCACTATCTCTAAACTGGGTCAAGAACTGATCACAGAACACAGTGGGCATAGAGCTGGTTCCAGCACCAGCAAGCACTGGGGTAGGTCCAAACCAGCCCAGCATGAATGCTGTTTGTTGTGAGAGCCTGACTTAGAAAAATTCAGGCTATGTCTAGAGTAGCGACTTCACAGATGACGGTGTCAGACTAACAGATAAGTGTACAAATAATTTTGCAGAGAAGTTTAACAGAGCTAAATAAATTTATCATCATGGACATAAAACAGTCTGAACAGCAATCTGTACACTGAATCATAATTCATCCCAATCTGTTTTTGAGATCTGTTTTGGAGATACTGTCTGCACCCACAGCAATAACGGGAGTCAACCTCTTACCCTGTATGCCCTCTCACTTATGGCCTTTATGTTGGCCTCCATCCATTTCCCAGGAACTCCATCAACCACTTCACGGTAGTTCACGTAGTAGCCGGTGATTTCAGTTCCACCAATAACTTTAGGTTGTTTCCATCCTAATGCCATCGAGTCACGAACACTCTCAAGTACCATGATGTCATAAGGTGGAGAGGGAGCAGCTGTTTCAATGTGAATAACACATAATTAGGAAGTTGAATTTCAATGTTACAGTGGCATTCCATAACCATATTCAGGTGGCTCCCATCCTGCATTTCCTGATTAGGACAATATTTATGTGGCCAAAGGGCAGTTTCTGGAGTTGGAATAAGAAATGCAGGATAAAAGATTCCATAAACCAAAAGAAAAAGTCAAAACTGCATAGGAATTAGTTTTCAGGATCATTTGGTTTTTTTGAGAAGCAAGCTGATACATAGTGAAAGAATGCATTGCAATTGCAGCTCTGATGTAAGCGTTCAGGCCTCGCTTTAAAACTGTGAAAAATGAGGAACTAAAACTAACATTACAGGAAAAGTAAAAAAAAAAAGATGCAATGATTAGTTTTCTTTCGCTGAAAGCAAGCCTATTTTCACACATACAATATTTATTGTAGTTCCTTTTTTTTTTTTAATAAGCCCACATTTTTCCCCTCCAAGAATGGACTTTATCATCTTTTTTTTTTTTCTTTTAAATTTATACATTCTGCAAATTTTATCATTGCACCCATCACATGATCTTACCTTAAGGAAAGGGAACATCATCATAGGCACTGTAGATTGACCAGAAATGGAACCCATCTATTACTGGAACTCACATTAAAAAAATTGTTGCATAATCCTCTTTTTTAATTATTTTTTTTTAAACAATACAGAAATCATTAACTTCATCCCAACCCATTTTCTTATAAAGCTTTTTCTGGATCTAATGGGGAAATGCTTGCCCACACTCAGTGTCACACATCTGTGAAGAGCCCTGCTTGTGAACTTGAAGTCCTGCTTTTCATGGAAATCCTACCTCATATATGTTTCCTTTTGTCTTTAATGTTTTATATCAGTGCCAGCTAGACCCAGGTGCCTCAACTTTGGTTTCTATTCAATGCTTTGCACAAGCTTTGAGTCTCACTTCAGAGGCCTGGGGAGGAATTCAGTTCACTGGCCAGGTACCAGGACTTAAATGAAATTCAAGCCGCACATTTCTAAGGCACAGTGGAAGTTAAGTTGTAGACGATATAAAACGTGATATTTTTGTGTGTGCCTTCAACTTGATAGGTTTTCCTCACTGCATATTTCTGTCAGAGGTACAATACAGCATTCATTAACACAGTGTCTCAGAGGGTATGCTGTAGCTTAAGCATAAATCCACAAAGGATCTTCATATATCCTAACACACCACAGATATTCATGCTTACCATCATAATCAGATTTTGTTTCCTTCACATGTACTACCCAGAGACTAGGTAACAAGACTCCTAACAAATTACTGAAGTGATTTAGAAATAATACATGGATACATTGATTTGTAGTCAAACAAACTATTAAATTAGTAAACGGATATTTATGTTTCACTTTCAACAGACACTGAATTTGTAAAGCAGTCTCCAATACCATTACATGAATAATGATCTTAACGGAGAGTTGAGCGTGTAATTAACAGGCCTGATGGAAGATGCATCATTGGAGAGCACGTTCACTTGTGGTGTGGACGAACAGAGGTTACAACCTTCTGAAGTGGATGAAGCAAAGCAGTGAAATATATTTATTTTATTAGCTCTCACCTATATCTTTCTTCTTTGTCACTTTTTCCAGAGTCAAAACATCCCCGGGTCGAGACTTACTTGCCTGCTTAGAAGCAGCATTTTGTGGTGCAGATGCGATAGCGTCCTTAAGCATTTCTCTCGTGTTACTGACTCCCATATTCCCCACTTTGTCAGAGCTACTGGGTAGTGTGTCTCTATTAAATTTAGCATTGCAATTTAGCAAAGCGCCTGTGTCAAAGATAGGCTGGGAGGACTCATGCATGCCTTCCCAGCTAGTAGTGCAGTCTGTTAGTCCACCAGCTTTACCACTCAGTTCAGGACACACACCATGAAGCAATCCTCCCCCTATAATTGCCAGAAAACAGCAAAGACATTTTGAATTAGAATACATTTTCTTTTTTTCACCTTCCATTTAGTCAACAGAATGAAGAAATGCATACGTTGAACAATACAGCCAAAGTATGACAAATCACAGGTTTTACACACAAAATGTTAAGCTTGAATTCACAAAAATTTGAAATGCATAGAATATGTCTCAGTCTGCTCACACATAATGCTCTTTTACTAATGTCTATTTTTCAGAGCAGAAGAAATATGGAAAGTTAATAGCAATCTTAATTTGCTACAATTACTTTAGTATGAGATCTCCCAAGTCATATTTCTGATCCTTTCAAGCTGATCTCACGTAATTGCCCCAGGCCACATCTCTCTGCTCTATGGCATGCACGTTTCATATAAGCGAGAGCGAGGATGTTGCAGACATACAATTTATTCTGATCCAATGATCTCATTAATCATTATGGATTAGTTCAGGCAGTGGTAAAACAAAAATAATTAATCAATAAAGGGACAACACACAGGGTTATAGAACATTTACAAAAGACACATTGCACTGATTAGTAGGCTTAGGGAGAGAAGCAGATTTCTTAGGAACTGACTGTATATAGGATGGTGTGCATTAGAGGTGACAAATACCGCATTACGGAGTCAGAATGACATTCCATTTTCCAGGATATTTATCAAGTGAACTTGGCAGTGCTCTCTTATGGTGGTTCACAAGAAAAACCTGAAGACTGGATGGTGAAAGTGAACAGGCTACAAGAGTGTAGTCACTGTGAAACGATGGCTGTGAGACCATAGGATCTATGGATAAATTATTATTTGTGGACAGCATTGTAAAACAAAACAATTAGTTACAAATAGTGGCTGAAAACATCTTTACTTAATTAAAAATACATATACCATTAAAAAGAACAATGGAAAATAGCTTACCAATGGCTGCTTGCACTTCTATAGGCTCTGAATCCTGTGAAAATTCACTGAGTCCCGCTGCATTAACAGCTCTGACTCTGAAAATGTACTTCTCACCATTGACAAGCCCATGACAAATGAATCTAAAACAAACCAGTGAAGGAATACTTAGAAAGTATTATGAAGAAAACAAAAAACTTAAGGGGGGAAAAGAAAGCTTTTTTTCCATAAAATTTATTCTGGTTTCTGAAAACTGAGGATAAATCATGACCCCAGTCACTTAAATGAAGGTCTACATCTCTTCAGTCATACTGTTTAAAAAAAAACTCTTTCCTTCTTAAGACTACATAAGTTATGTTACAAGAGGGTCTACCTACCTTACTTCTGCTAGTATATAAAAAAAACTTTTCCTAGCGGAAACAATGCAAAAAATCATCAGAGAAGGTCTATATTTGCTTGTGGGATATCTTCTTGACATTAAGTAATAGATCCTTGTAACTGAAACTCCCATAATTCACTTCCAATCATACATGAAATATTGCAGTGTTCAAAAAAGTTACAGGGCATTGTACAAGAGATTAAAAAAAAAGTATCTGATTTTTTATTTCACTTTCTTGCTTCTACCCATCACACAGTAATCTGTCAGGTAAACCTTTTTATTAGAATGTTTCTTCTACCGCATTACTTAGTGATCACATAAAAAACCCCTCAAATTTTCTCTGGTGTTAACCCTGAAAACACAAGATTTCCCAGGACAGGAATAACTTTAAAAAAAAAAAAATGTGTTTTGGAAATGTAAACATTTTATTTAAAACAACATTTATCTTTCAATAGGTATTTTAAGTGTATTTTATTTAATGTTACCTTTATTTTCTTCTAGTTTATAATGTCGTGTCTTGCACTAACAACGCTGACATTGTGCAATGAAGTACAAAACAAATATAATGTGAAAAACAAAATGTATTTCAAAATAAAAAATTTTACTTTAGAGAAAGAAATAAAACCTGAATTAAATTTTCAGAGCAGAATTTTCCCTTCTCGTTCTACCAGACTTTTCCAAATACTTTGCTTTCACCATATATGTGCAGGAAATACATTTCAAAACATCAAAATGTCCTGCATAATGCAAACTATGAGCCACAGCTAGTGCTTTGAGATTGACTCAACCAGAAAAGTCAAGAGTTAACAGACAGCCTGTGCCTGACTGCATCATACATTACATCACACTGACCAAAAGTGCCGTGATAGGAACCTAAGCAGTGCAGTCACATCACAATATTAAAAGTATCTTTATACTTTAGTTTATTTTTATAAAAAGCATATATTTTTATTTTTACAGTGACTAGAAATCATGTTTCTTATTTTAAAATAAGCAAACAGCACAAAATGTCACCAACACCTGATGTAAGCAAAAATATAAATCATAGAAGTATATACAAAAGTATACAATATCAGGACATACAGCAGTTGCAATATGAATGCACAAAACAATACTTAAGGGAAGTTGTTGTGTTTGTATTCAAACAAGTGGGGTTTTAGGTACTTTTGCTATACTAAGCATTCCTATGTCCTTCTAAACAAGAAATTTGGCCCAAGAGTATTTGGCAGAGTCTCACTGCAATAAGGGTTGTCATGGATAGCAATTATAAATAAGCATAATCAGTCATAATAAGCAGAAACTGTTTCTGGATTGACATCGATCCACTTGATCTGAAGTTCTGCAATTACTCCTTTAGACTATGAAGATTACATCCTTATTCACACAAAACTGATTTAGCTTGCAAAGTTTAAAATCTTGATTGCCTTTTCTGGCTAGAGGCTGAGCTTCACATTGCTAAGAAATTTGAGTTTATACCCACAGAGTGTTCATTAATAACTTGTAATTATCAAGTGAAAAAGCAGTTAGACAGTAATACTGTTAGCATGATATAGTCCACATGACATTCTAGATACACAGTTCAGATACGCTCAGAGCAGTCTTCCAAAACAAAGGACTTGGCTTCCAAACATTACGCGGTTTGGTTTTCTACATTTGTAACTTCAGTCATTCCTCGGTGTAGTGTTTTTCATCAAACTGATAGGCTGCACAATAGCTAAAACTAGCAAGCAGCTTCTCTTTTCTTCACTAGCAATGTCCATGTTTCCTTTCCCTTGACTAATTGTTTGTAATATAAGGCTGATTATAAATTCCTTTTGGACAAGACTCACAGCTTGAAATATGTTTTTATAAATTCTTATGAACTTCACCTACAAGAGTGATTCCAGGCTGCTGCCTACCACAGCCATTAACTCAACTACTATTAATTGCTGGAAAGAATATATACCCAGTAAATCAAAACCTGGTGACCATAATTTCCATGCTTTAAAATCCATTACCTTGTGCCTTTCACTGGATTGTTGTTGCATGGTTCCCAACGACCAGATCCAACTACACTTGACTCAATGTAGTACCCAACCAGCTCCTTGGCATCTGGGGGCTCTGTCCAAGTGACAACAACTGAGGTATCTGTATTCCTAGTTGGCATAATACGCCCAGGAGCTTTGGGAATATCTGTGGGAGACAAACAAAAACTATTTAGTGACCAGACAGTCAACATTTACAAATGAAATAAAAATGACATTCTATTCTCTATTATATTGTCACAATTAATATAGATTTAACCTCCCAAAACTCCTCTGATTGCAATCAAGTAATCTGGCACAGCAAGACAGGATCAGTAGGTTTCAGTTTTTGGTGGTGAGGTTCCTCACGTCTCCATTGCCTATGCTTATGAACATTTCCTTAAAATCACTTTTAGGTTATTTCCATGTGCTGAACACCTGCACCAGAGATGTGATTTGGAGCTTTCCAAAAGGGAAAATCTGTTAGGTGCACACTGATGGATTTTGTGCAGCCCACAGAATAAGTCAGAAACAAATGCTTCTGTTAAGTAGCAAAACACATCTAAAGTATTTTTCAAGAAGAGCTGTTTTACTCTTGTTCTTAAAGAATGTAGTTCATGTGTGTGAAACTGCCCTGAGAATTCAACCAATATGAAGCAAACAATCTGGGAGCTGGATTCATTCTGCATTGCCATTTGGAAACAAATTGGTAATGTAGACACAGCTACTGATGCTTTGCTGGGGAGAACATCTTGGCTTTTCTTCTAGTGGAAATAGTCTCTGTGTTCAAGTAAGTATTAAATTCTTCACTTCTGTTTGATTTGGCAAACAAGGAAGGTTAAACTCTGCTGATGTCTTTATTGAAAATAAGCCCAGACGAAGTAAACCAAAATATTTTTGTACTTCCTTGAGTTTTCGTTTTCTTTCACTATTTTCAGCCCATGAGGTTCTGGCATTGTTATTTGCAACTTATTTCCCTCGGTTTGCATCTGTCATTTGACTGCACATTAAAAGGTTCAACAACACAAACTAAAATTATTTTAGCTAAAGGGAATAAATCGCTGACTACTCTTCATACGCGAGTTAGTTACTGGGCAGCTATCTGTCTTCAGACAACACAGTCACATCATAAACTGAAAACATACCATGGAGGTGACTTACTACATATGACCACACACTTACCGAGTTTGTCGTCCACCACAGTGGCTTCAGTTGCTTCCGAAGGTTCACCAATGCCAGCTGAATTGCAACAGCGAACTCGGAAGCAGTAGGATTTGCCTTCAGCCAAATCAAAAACTGCAAAACGAGGAGACTTCACAGGGATCTCAGTGTTTACCCTTTGCCAGTCCTCTGTGCCAGCAATGCACTGCAGTCAAACCGAAAAACAGCATTTGGAACAAAATTCTCTGAAAGCTGAGTGACTAACCCGACAAGACTTTCTGCCCAGACCACCAAATGCATGTCTGCTATGGAGAACAGGGAGAACATTTGGGCTTTTCCACAGAATGAGTGTATTTCAAAGCTTATGGATATGCCATGTGTCCACCTACTCCAACAAAAGGTACATAAAACCTTACTGGTTTTATTATATCAAAGCCAAACTCCTCTCCGCAGCAAGGAAGTGATGTTATTAACTGCATCCAGTTCTGGAACACTTTCAAAAGAAGTTCTGCAGACATTCAACATCATTCAAAGAACAGAACTAACATTACCACATTGTTTCTAGATGCTGCTGAGATTGCTTTTGGGGTGTTTTCCAGAATCAATCAGGATCTGACCTTCGTTTTTCCAGAAAGAAAACTAACATGTGTAATTAGTTTGTGAATTGTTTTTATTTCTGTGGCTAGAAGCTCTACATACCATGATCATTTATACCATCAATGTTAGTGATTAATTTTTGCCTGTGATTTACATAAAGGATAATTTCAAGTAATAGTTCTGGTTTCTAAGGGATTTCAAATTCTCAGAAAAACGTTATCTGGCTATGTGACATTAGTGCTCAGTACTCAGCATACAATAGGTTATTGAAAAAACCCTTTCTTATATGGAAACTCAAAATTCATATATTCATCCTCTCCAAGTCTGTTGCTAAGTGAAACTCACTTATTTAGACCAAATTTCTTAACAGATGAAAAACACATAATGGGAAGATATTTATGTCTCCCATGATGACACATCTAGACTGATAGGGAAAAGCATTGATAAAAAGGTTTGTGAGCCATGAGATACAAGCAAAAAAGGGTAATGGCATGAAGAATTTTCTAGGCTACGAGCCATGCAAAAAAACCTAAACATCTCAGAAAAGCGGGACACTGAAATTAAAACTGATTCTGTTCTAGAAAATAAATTTTGTCATCTTTGTTGAGTTGGTGAAGCAAATGGAAAGTTAATGTAGAGGATAAATATGAAAAGGCATCTGGAAGAGAAAGTGCTGATGCTAAGAAGCTCTTGCAGAATAACTCCATTCAAAATGTCAACATCTGTCCCACGAGACAAGCTTCAATTATACAAATTTTATATTTTATATAATGTATATATGTTCATATATATATTTTTTAAATGTGACTTTGCTCTGTGCTTTCTCATTATAGAGGGATATTGTCAGCCTGTCTATTCTAGGGTAGGTCAATAACACAATTCATAGAAGGATATTACAGTGTGTGACACATTCTGACATCTACTTTCCTATTTCCCATCTTTCTTCCTAGTTTTTCTTAATCAATGCTAACTCTTACGTTGATGAAGTTCTACTGCTGGTCCTAGTCTGAAAGCCTCAGGTGGAAATGAAAGTTAACTACAAGTTCAGAAGAGAAGGCAAAACAAACGTAAGAGATTGCCACAACATGATTCTGGCTCTGTCAAATTTTACCTTTTCCACAAAGTACATGATACCCTCATGGCCCCGCTGTCCAGGTGGTTTCCAGCTAAGCACAACGTAGGTCTTGGTGGCTTCAATAACTTGGAGATCTGTAGGTGGACCTGGAACAACACCCTCTGAAGAATAGGGGAAAAGAATAGGAAAGGGAATTGGGATTTAATTCCTTCATATTTATGCCAGAATTAGTGCCATAATTAAATCATAGAAGGGGTATTAATATGCTTTGGCAGCTGATTTTTTTGTTTGTTTGTTTAAATATAGAGTTAGAAGTCTTCTAAATATTGGGGTTTAATGTCCTTCCTTTAACTCTAAGCATGTTTATTTGTTAGGTCCTGAATAATGAAACCTCACCTCAACAACCAAGTTGGGAGTTATTCAAGGTCAAATGACTCTCAGAACAACAAACTTTGGGTGTGTGCCAAAGTCCACTGAACTCACCGGGAGTTTTCCTAATTACTCAGCCAGCTTCACATTAGATTTCTGTAGGCAAAAGGGACATGTTTACCTGCAGGTTCTTCCTCAGTGACAATAATCTGTCCAGTCCAGGGAGCAGAAGGGTGACCTGAAACAAATGTCAGAGGTATCATAGAAATGGGAGACTTCAGGAACTTCTGAAATAATGAGAAAACTGACTCTTTTGATGTTCAAAACTAACATTTGCAAGATTCACGTGAGCTCCATTTTTGGTTACTGCTGTGACTGTTGCTCATGTAACATGCTAGTTACCCAAGCTAGCTGTAGGCTGACCAGCCTGAATATTGAGAGCAGCTCAACCACCAATATAGCTAGAAAATTTAATCCACTGAAACATGTATTCCTCTCTGAAATGTCACTGAAGTCACCTAGCTGACAAGTAGAGGTATTTGGCTCACTCAGCTCATTGTTTTCGGAGAATTTACTTCAACTTTATTTTCCATGCTCTATTCATGTGATTTAACAGCTCACTTATTACAGGAACAGCTGAATTCCTGCAGGTTGCTCTTTGTCTCTGTTTAACTGCTTTCCCTCACATTACAAGATTTCAAATCATGGGTCACATCCATAAAAGATATGGCTCACTCAACCTGACTCAACATAGACACTTGATATGATTTTGGGTGGCTCTCTCAATACTCCTACGTTATCGTATTATTGTAGTTATGCATTCAGCTATCAACCAGGTCAATGCACTTTCAGAGATTATTTTTGCAAATGCTGTTCTGCAGCTCCATGTGCTTTACCTTATGTTGGCTGATCTGTTTTGGAGATGTGAGCAGAGAGGGAGCAAGTGGGGAGAAGAGAGGATCATGGTGGACACAAGTAGGAGATATAATGGGAATGGGCCAGCATGAGCAGACTTCATCTCCTGAGATAGCTTCCGTATTTCCCAGTGAAAAGGAGAGGCCTACTCCAGGCTTCAGGTTTCACACATCTGTCTGAGCACGTTTCCTGGCAGTGCCAAACCTCCTTCCTCCAGCCTTTTGTTTTTATTCTGAATGGGAACCTTGTTCATCTGACTGCAGTCTGTAGCTTGCAGCATTATGTAGAGTAAGACATACAAGATGATGGTGTGTGAGCCCAGTAGCTTTGCATACGATATCCCTTCGCACTGAACCATATCATATAGTCAAACTTCAGAAACAAGTAGAAATAACTGGATTTTGGGCATACAATTTTGGCTTATGGGTAGAGAGGGGGATTTTGAAACAAACTTTGGCTAAAATCCTCAGCAAAGCCTTTTTGACTAGGACATTTCCAGTTCACGAGGAAAATACCCTGGGCTTGTGAAATGTTAACTTTAAAGCAGACAGCTTGGAAACTGTTTGGCTACCCTGATATTGTTCTGATGTTACTGCAAGACTTCATTGTCACATGAGCACAAAATCAGCCACCCCTGTCTGTGGCACAGGGAGAGACTATTCACAGTAACTGTTCAGCTTTTTTGTTGGCTGAAAAAAAGCAAATCTCTTCAGGCGATTACCTCCCCTGTGCCTTTTCCTCCCTTCCTGCAAGTTCAGAGCATAGCACCAAAGCCAGCCAAAGCCATTTGAGCAGATAGGGCACTTTGCCCAAAGAGCACTGCTTCTGGGCAAAGCTGTCTCCAAAGGAAATTTTGGTTTTGCATTGCTCCCTCTAGTGGGATTCCAAGGGCTTGTGAGTAGGCAATCATACTTATTTTTTAATGAGTTGTGACTTCATGTAAAACCCTCAGGCAATTTTGGTTTTGCATTGCTCCCTCTAGTGGGATTCCAAGGACTTGTGAGTAGGCAATCATTTTTTAATGAGTTGTGACTTCATGTAAACCCCTCAGGCAACCTGCAAAAACCACATCTTACTTCTAAGCCTGGCTCTGTCAGCAGGATCCAGAGCAGCCACGGGCTCTGACACTCGGGATGGTAGGCTAATGCCAGCTTTGTTCACAGCTCGGACTCGGAAAATGTAGGAACGGCCTTCGATCAGACCAGTGACAGGAAAACGAGCAAACTTCACGGGAGTCTCATTGCACTGGGTCCAGTGGGCGGTGCCAACCTCACACCTGAAAAATACAAAGAGCAAGAGCAGTGATTGGAAGGGATAAATGCAAACTCGGGGTACCCACCCCCCTGTACATCTTCACCATCTGTCGTGTTCATTGGCTGGACCATACCAGTTTCCTCAACAGTGTTACATACTGGTGGCATCCAAGCAGCTACACCAAGGGTTGAAGTACCACCTTGGTGTGCACTAAATCCCTCACAGCTGCACTCCTTGTTTCCTGAAGTGAAGAAGGGACACCAACAGAACTCATGTCACTGTTTAAGTCCTCCAAACTATGCTCCAGGATGCTTAGGGAGTGTCAGCTGTAGCATGCCTGAAGATACACGAAATACCTGTCTCCTTTGCAGATGCCAGAAGGCAACTACTTCATCTTCCCTGCACAGTGCTCCACAATACATCCTGTAAAATGATAGGCTTCATGGGGCATGGAGATCTCCATGGTGAGCTGTGTGACAAGCCCAGCACACAAATGGCTGTGAACAACTTGAGGTCAGGCACCCAGCCGAACCCTGCTTCCAAGGGTGCCTGCGATGCAGTGGCTGCAGCCACCGCGACAAGACCCTACGGGATAGTGCTGGTCCCAGTGCTGCTGAGCCTTGTACCTGGCAGGAGGACAGTTTCTGGCAGAAGGAAGAGAGAAGCAGCAACAGGGAGGGAATATTTGGGTGCCTAAATACCTTCCATGGGATCAAATACTGGAGAACAGGAACACAGCGTTGAATTTAAGAGCAAATGTAGAAAGGAGGTGGACATATGAGAAAAAGCAAAATGCCATTTGTCTTGCAGTTACTCTCATTGCTAACCTCCCTCAGTAGCCAAGCTTTAAAATGAAATATTATTTTTCAAAATCTAGTCCTCTCTTTTGTTTAGGATGCTCTAATGAATGTTAAAAAGCTGTAACTTAGAGCTAGCACAGCATAGTTACAGCAGTAAGTGACACTCATGTTATCAAAGCAGTACAATCGTATTTGCATTAAATGTACTGATGTTAGATTTTTTTCACAAAGCAATACCCCTTTTTTATGCATCTGAATAACCTCTGTATTACTGATGATGTGTTCTGTTACTGAAATCCAAACAAAAGTTATCAGTTCTGGAAACGTCATTGGAAGTCTCAAAATGCTGTCTGAATTTCTTAAACCCCGAGGTTTTGGAGTTCTGCCATTATGTGACACATGCAGTTTTCATATTTTTAAAAATTCTTTCCAATTCTTATTGTTACAGAGAAACACTGAATAAGTTGAGTTAAAATGAACAGCAATATGAATTGTCCAGTCTAGCATGCTCACTGACCTGTCAATGAAGTACCCGAGGATGGGGTTTCCTCCATCAACAGCGGGCTGCTTCCAGGAGACAATGACATAATCTTTGTTGGCATCTAAGCACTGCACATCCAGTGGTGCGCCAGGGGCTCCAGGGATTTCAGCATCAGCATCTATGAGGATGGAGGCATATGTTTCCAAATGTGAACCACAGTTCTTTCGCAATTACTAATCTTTAAAGACCGAACGCTGCTCCTACTGACTGAAAAAATGTAAGTTCCATTACTGGCTCCAAAAAGTATATGTTTTTATAATGCCAGTGTTTTTCTAGGCTTTGGTTTTCTCTTTGCCACATTTACAAATGCTTAATATGTTACAGCATACTGTAAACGTAATTCACCTGGACACTTTAAATAAAATTGGTAACATACGTTCTGGTTAGATAGCTGCAGAGACAAAGCTGAACTGAAAACTTGGCAGACTATATATTTACCTGCTATTCTATTTAGCAGAAGAGGCTAATTATCTTGCCTTACAGCCAGGCGATAGCACAATCAAAAGTATTCACCCATTGTATATACAACACTAAATTAAATATCTTATGTCCACACATAGTTCTTCATCCTTTGGTTTTGGTTAGTTATGAACTGCAAAGGTATTGAAACCTTTTTAAGTTTCATTGTAACATATATTATCATTGTGGAATATAACATTCATAAGAATGAGCATATTTTTTCTTTCAAGTGTTTATCACAAACCACAGACTGCTGGTGTCAAAGGGTCTTGGCTCCAGCATCAGCTTCTAGAAATATCTTATCTAAGGCTTTAAAAAACAGAGCACAGTGCTGGGCATGGGGGAATTTTACTGTTCACATAGTGAAGAGTCTGATTTGTGAGATGGGATAATCTTCACATACAGAAAAATAAGCTTTGCAGGGAGATTGTATGAAAGACTTTCAAAGGAGAGTGGTTGTTTCTTTGAAGAATAACATTGATTTTTACAGTTACGTGTAACAGTTTTCAAGACCACTACTTCAAAAGAAGACTTGACTTAGACAAGAAAGATGTATATGCCTTAAAACAAAGAATATTGTGCTAATAAGTATTATTCATACATTCCATCTGAGTCTCAGACTTCTTAGAAAGTTTTAATGTTTCAAGTCACTACAGGATTTTGTATTACCATATACAGTATTCCCTATTTTTTATGCTTTCAGAAAAAAAAAGTCCTTATAGGAGTATTTAACATGCTTCATTAAGTAAAACAGTAGCCTTCAGAAAAAAAAACCCACACTGAACACTATGTCTTCTCTTATAGGCAGAGCAGCATCACCTGGAGCTTTTGAAACTGAGCCAAAGATACAGAGTCCAGGTTCTAATTACAGTTACTCTGATTCATTTTAAAATCAATAATGTATAGAGTAATCAATCAAGTTACCATAACAAAATAATAAAAACATTAGTAACAATACATCTTCCAGTGATCTCCATACAATAGGTTTTAATTGCCCATATTTACCACTTGACTAACATGAGACACCACAGTTTCTTTCCAAGACAGAAAGGAAATAGCTGGGACAACCAACATGGCTGATCAACCTCAGGAGGCTAGGATTTCAAATACTGACCTGTAGCCATGGCAGAGGACTCACACATGCTCTCAGAGCCTGTTTAAAGGTCTAACGTTACAAGCCAGATTACTGCATCACTCATTTCCATCAATACACAGGAATTTCCACACATGACACAGAAAGACAACTGCTTGTGCTTAAATACTCTAGCTATCCATCTATAGCAAATTTGCTTACAATTTTGGAGGACTAGTAAGGAATATACTAGCCAACTGAATCTGTGGGACCATTTAAGTAATTTAAGTAATAATTAATCTAATTAGAATTCAGAAAACACATTGATTGGCTAGTAAGATACTCCTGTGAAAGGGGTAGTGGGTTCTCAGTCAGCTCATACCTGCATTGCTACAAGATGTAAAAGGAACGAGGGTGATCATTTATTTTTACAGCAGCACAGTTTAAAACGAAACAAGAAAGACAAGCCCTATTCCTTGTCACACATGCTCGTTTCCGTAGACTCTTCAGGTGATGAAAACATCTGCTTCAGTCATATTTTCTGACCATGCTGTTATCTCACACAGCTCTGCTGGACTTGGCAACAAAACATCATGCTGGGCACAGTCTCAGAGCCAAGAATTTCCAGCAGCTGGGACTGATATAGAATCAGCATGCAACCTGATAGCCATGGCTCCTTTTAAAGAAATATTTCTCCCATAGGCATTCAAGGAAGTTCTGCCTGATACAAGGAAACAATGCCCAGAGAAATTACATTTTAATTCTACACTTTGCTGCTTTACTTTAGAGAATCACAGAACAGTCAAGATTGACTGATGCCTCTGGAGATTGCATGGTCCAAACATCGGCTCAAAGCAGGGTCAGCTAGAGCTGGTTGCCCAGGACTCTGTCAAATCAGGTTTTGTGTATCTCCAATGATGGGGATTCCACAGCCTGTCTGGGTAACCTGTTCCAGTGTTCAACCACCCCTGCATTAAAAAAGGTGTTTTCTTATATTCAAATAAGCTTTCCTGTATTTTAATTTGTGTCCGTTGTCTCTTGTCCTGGCAGTGACCACCATTGAAAAGAGCCTGGCTCTGTCTTCCTTATTCCCCTCCATCAGCTATTTGTACACGTGGATAAACTCCCCCTATGCCCTCTCTTCTCCAGGCTGAACAGCTCCAACCCTATCAGCCTTTCCCCATATTGGAGATGCACTTAGCCCTTAACCACATTCACAGCCCTTTGCTAGACTCACTCTGGTCAGTCCATGTCTCCCTTGTGCTGGGAGCTCAGGACTGGACACAGCACTCCAGATGAATCTTACCAGGGCTGAGCAGAGGGGAAGGATCACCTCCTCAACCTGCTGGCAATGCTCCTCTGAACTGAGACCAGGATGCTGCTGACCTTTGCGACAAGGGCACATTGCTGTCCCATGTTCACCTTGGTTTCCACCAGGACCCCCAGGGTCTTTTCTGAAAAGCAGCTTTCCAGTGAGGCAGCCCCCAGCCTGTACTTGTGCATTAGGTTATTCTTCCCCAGGCATAGACGTTTGTGTTTCCCTTCCACTGTATTTTTTCCTGCATTTTGCATTAGAGAGAACCCCTCAAACGGCACACAAAATCTTGATCAAGACAATGAAGTTTAACTAGCAGTGAGATGGCTACAAAAAATAAGTTTTAGAGTTATTATGGAGATTTTTCCTCTTTATGACTTATATTCAGTACTCTTCACAGGCTGAAATTGAGAAAAAAAAAAAACATCAATACCCTAAATTTGCTCCTTAGAATGCCAGTGTGCTTTAGAAGTCTTCTAGCATGTGAAACGAAAGTTTGACATATGCATTCAATTTTTTCAGAGATAACAATTGGAAGTTATATTGATAGAATCTATTAATAGAAAATAATTATTTTTATTGGAAAAAAAGGACCTAAAATGGCCAAGACTGATTTTGCCAGCATTTCCCTCATCTAAATTTGCTCCTTAGAATGCCAGTGTGCTTTAGAAGTCTTCTAGCATGTGAAACGAAAGTTTGACATATGCATTCAATTTTTTCAGAGATAACAATTGGAAGTTATATTGATAGAATCTATTAATAGAAAATAATTATTTTTATTGGAAAAAAAGGACCTAAAATGGCCAAGACTGATTTTGCCAGCATTTCCCTCATTTCTCTATTGAGTTTAATTCACAAGACAATATCCTACCTCGAACAAAGACATAGCTACTGTACTCTTCATAGTAGTCTCCCATCACCACTCGTAGAGTGTAAAGACCTTCATCTTCCTTGTTTGCATGCGTCAGTGTCAATGAAGCTCGCTCCCCGCTCCAGTGCATCTGGACCCATTTGGATGGTGTAATAAGAACACCTAGAAATTAGAGAATTTCATGAGGAGAACTAACTGGATCTACTGAGGAATAGATTCTGAGTATGGGGAACAGATAAATTAGAAATACTAAAGAGACCATTTGTATTATGCAGCTTTCAGTCTTCAGAGACAATCACACATTGCAACTAATTCTGCTCTCATGCCAATTTTGGTTTCATTTACAAAGTGTAAGTTCAGAGAACAACAACTTTTTTATCAGCGGTTGCACAACACATTAGTGCAACTACTTCAATGTCTTGGCATATAAATAAGTAGTAAAAGCTATGTGGGATATGTAGATGGGCTACATAGATGTTGGAGCTGATAGAAATGCTTTTAATTTAATTTTTTTAAGAAAGAAAGACTTTCACGGTGCTTTGACTATTTTGTAATTGTTTCCATTTCAAAGTGCTAAATTTTGAAAAATATTTTAAATGAAAAGGAGAAAATGTTACTGTTTAGAAATCTGAGAAAGTGATGACCAAATCATAATGTTCACATATGCCAGAATAACTAAAGATTTATGTAAAATAGTTTATATTTCTTCTTGCAAACACTCTCACCATTTCTGTACCATTCAATGTCTGGTTTGAAGCGCTTGATATCAGGACTGATGACAACTGTGCAGCCCAGGCTAATTGTCTCGCCTTCTCTCCCAAAGGCTACATCAAACTTGTCAACAAAGCTGATTTCAAACCTGGAAGCATAGCCATGAGGGGTAACGCCAACTGTTTAAGGGAAAAAAAAATCTGGCTGTTGACTTTTGCTTTCCTTTTGTGATGAGAGTAGTAAGCAAAGTATCCAATGATTATGAATACAAGCTCAAGTAAAGTTTAAGATACAAATAGAAACAATATATATTCAACAATAATGTTCAGAGATGATTGCAGTGTCAAATAATCCAAGGCCTTACTATCACAGAGGATCAACTATTTCTTTGTTCACACAACTCTAGTTCTTACAGCTAGTTCATTTTATCAGGGAGAGGCTTGTGCAGAATTTCATTCCAGGATTTCCAAAATTTCGGATTCAGCATCCAAAGTCTCAGATCCAGTATTTTATCTTTTTATCATAAAGTTTGTTTTTTAAGTTAAACAGACTTCTATTTACGATTTATGATTTGTTCAGGTCAAGCTGATCTTTAGCTTCTTTTCTTTCCC